TGGTAAACCTATGAAGTCATAGTTAGGTAATAAAATTTTTATTAATTAAAGAAAATTAGACACATATATGATATTTTTATTAATTAAATTAAAAAAATAAGTGTAATAAACAATAATTATTTTATTGTTAATGAAAATGAAATACATTATTTTGAAATGGCCAAAAATTAAATTATTTTACTATTTGGCAAAGATCAATAGTTCAACTTTTGGGTCAAATGTGTTAACATGTAATGTCATAAATAGATAATAAAAATTAATAAAATATAAAAAAATGAAATAATACATAAATTTTGCAAAAAAAAATGTTGAGGCACATGTATAATATCATATAAATATAGTATTATACAAAAAGTAAGTATAACATATCAGAATTATTTTTACATAGAAATACAAAAGAAAATTAACACATTTTTAGTTCTATATTTACACTACTATTAAAAATATGAATAAGATTGTAAAACTTTTCTTTTGACTAAAATACTCATTTTTGAATTTTGTCCATATCTAATTGTGAAGTTTAAATTGTAAATTGAAGTACTACTTTTCACCTCATTCAAATCCTTCTATTTAAATCTTACATTTCTTTGATAAATGAACAAAAATGATACATCGGAAAGACAAAACATTATAAAAAGAAAAATCTAGCCAAACAGGTAAGCCTATTAATGATACTTGAAGCTTCATGGCTCAATTTGATTGTCACATATTTGGATGAGGTGTTTATGTAATCATATTTGGATTTTGCAATCCACATCCAATTAATAAAAAAAATAAAAATACATATTTATAGAAATTTTTGGATACATTATTACTATCATTATCATCACCAAGAATTGTCACGTGCAAACCACGTGCACGCTTAATAGTGTGTCACTTGACAGAATTTGGTCCTTGTTTAACTATCGGATTAGAAAATATAATACTTATTTTCATTCAATTCCTTCTCATTAATGTGTTAACTCCCATTCTCTCTCCTTAGGTCTTTAATTGAAGAATTTTTATTTCTCACCAATAAATTCTACTAATTGAATCTATACCCAATAATTTTAACAATACAAAAGCTATGTGTTCAAACCCAACATGAATACTAAACTCTCCTTTTGTCTGTGTGGTGGGCATAGAGTTCAACTATCTAGGTTAAATAGCTGAACCAATATTGTCTCATAGTTAAACAATAAAGGTTTAAAAACAAATAAAAAATATAAGAATTACAAAAAATCAAATGCATCTCTAAAATTATATATTTATCATGTTAAGTAAAGTATGGTAAATAATAAAAGGACAAATTTCTTAAAGTACCCCTAAGGTTTAGGAAATTGACTAACTATACCCCTACCGCTTTAGTATTGTCTTAAAGTATCCTCACTATTTCTGACAATTGTCACCATCTTTAAATTGTAAGAAAAAAATAAAATATTAAATTTTCCCTCCACTGTTTCTCAAATTTTCAAAATAAAACTCAACTACTAAAAAGGAGAGGGAGAAAAGCGAAGAGAGAGAAAGAGAGAGAGAGAGAGGATAATAGAAAAAAAGAGAAAGTGACAAAGGAAAGTCATAGACACGACCAATGACAATTGACTGAGCAACTTGGAACGCTTGCTAGCTATCATTGCATGAGTTGATGTCATGGCCAATTGTGTAAATTCGGATCACAAAGCCATAGGTCTCCATAGCGTCTATAACCACACAAGATGTTTTCATTTAAATCCGTGCAGTTATGCTTCCATGACTGAGAACTGCTCCAGCGGTGCTTGAGTTTGCAATAGAGCAATAACGTGTGAACAAGCTGGAAATGCATGTGGCCCCAACAACAATTGCTCCACCTCCACAAACGAGGTTCTGGTTATCTTTTTCACTGTAAACAAGGTTACCCAGGAAGTGCGAATCTGGGTCTGGCGAAAGCTCTCAGGTCTTATTGTCGAAAGATGGATTCCCCTAGCTTGTTGAGGTTTCTGATGGCAAAACGGAAGGAGTCTCCGGTGTTATTGAGGACGGATCTCTAGTGATTGCCGAATCTACTAACCCTGCACGTTTAAATTTGGATGCCATGGAGGATTTTATTAACCAAAAATCTACAAAGGGAAGGGTTTCTAACCATCGTTGGGGGTGTGCAACGATGCATCAAGCACATTTTCCAGCCGCTAGTGTTGCTCTGACAGGGGAAGTGAAGAGAAGAGGGATGGATGGTAGTATTGGGTTTTAAAAATATTTATACATCATGTATGTACGAATTTTAACGGAATATTAATGGACGTTAACGATAGGGGTAGAGCTAGTCAATTGTTAGAAACAATAGGGTACTTTAAGACAATAGCCAAACAATAAGGGTAGAATTAGTTAATTAACTAAACCGTAGGGATACTTTAAGAAATTTTCCCATAACAAAATTTAAAACTGAACTAGAAAATGAACCGCTTTTACTATTCATGCAGTGGATCTATGATTCAACATTTTAGGTCAAATCGGCCAACCAGCAATTTCATAATTAAATAATAAAATTTTTAAAAAGTAGCAAAACGAAAAAATATTTAAAATAAAAAAAAATTGTAAAAAAACATTTGGGCACATATCAAGTATATATTCTATATTTTTGTAATTCAACTATCTAGGCAGTGGGCACATAGTTCAACTATTTAGATTAAATGGCTGAACCAATGTCTCACAGTTAAATAATGGTAAATAAAAAATATTTTTGTTAATAATAGAAAAAAAATTCAAAATTTAAAACTGAACTAAAAAAGCCAAAAATCAAATAAACCAGCTGAACACCACTTGCCTTCAAATTTCAAGTCAGTGGTTTTCTTTTCTCCTCTTCTACACGCCCTAGTTCTTACGATCCCACTAACATATATTGAATTCAACCTAATGTATTATCCAGTAGAAAACTCTAAGCACACAAATACAAATCAATCTCAACCACACATCTGCCTCTTGTCGAATACCTAGTTCCTGCAATGTGCACTCCATCTCCATCACGGATGATGTGGGCTACATTCACTTATTTAGAGGCAAAAATGTCCATATAGGAGAGACATTTGTTCATTGTCCAAAAACCCTAAGCATGGTTTAAGACTGAACCAAATGCAAGTTCATCAGCTCCCCAAGAAGGTTTTGCAATGGTAGACCGATCGAGATATTGGCATTTTTGTCAAGAATGGTATCAGATATTTGGCTTTGAGTGATCATCCGTTAAAGATCAAGTTCAAGAAGCAGTAAAAGTAGTATAATTCAATTGATGTTTATTCTATGAAATTTCACTGATGTGCTACTCCTTTGCACAACACTATATAATATTTGATGCTGCTGGATCCAAGGTGATGCCCGAATTGAGGAAGACAGCCGGATAGTCGTTGCCAACAGGGCAAAGCCAAGGTGATAGGAGGAGTCGTGCTTCAAGACATGTAATCAAAAAAGGATGTCAGAGGCTCGAGGAGTTATCCCCAGGTAGATACTCCAATGCTCAAGTCAGTAGAAGGTGATGGATGGTCAGGCCGGGCAATAAGGGTGCTGGTCCGAGTAGAGTAACAGTGTGAGTGCTAGAAGTTGGAATCCCTTACCTTGAGAGGGAGATACCTTTATATAGCCAGAGATCCGTGTCCTACTCTGATTGGGCTTCTGGGATTGTCGGGATGAGGTTAACCGCCGAGGTCTTTGGGATAGATTCCTATTCCCTAGTGGAGTTGTCCTCATCCCTCCTCCTATCCTTGGTTGTGCTTATCCGCATGACATGTAGCTGATGTGGCTAAGTGGATAAGATGGGGGGATACGGTAGTAGCATAGTGCGGTCACGACCGCAAAGTCGGTGTATGCCGCGAAGCTAGATGGGTCGTGCCGATGTGATCGGGGTGGCTAGACGTTGACTAGGTTGGCCACGTGTTGCCTAAAGCCAACTCAACCATGACCCGAACATCACTCCCCCAGTTCTGAAGTCGAGGAATGAAGTGCTCGGCCGAGGTATTGCACGACAGGGTGCTTTGTTTCTCGGTTGATGAACTCCAAGTTGAAGTCTGATTGAGTGTCTAGTTCGCTTAGTATTCCTCAGTGCTTGTCAAAATTTGGAATCTGCACAATGTGAGTTGTGGCTGAGGAGTTCTTCGATCGTCGGCCACGAAACTTTGAGAATTCTAATTTCGAAATCCAAACAATATTAATACTAAATTAAAGCTTTTCCTGATTGGATTATTTGATCGTCCTATAATATATTCTTCAACTACCATCTTTAACGGGTCTGCACTTTTGTTTCGTAATGCATGGAGGAAATTGAGACAAGATGCATTTCCTCCAACCATGAATCGAAAAAGAGAAAAGAAAAAAAATGCCAACACAACAACGCTTGAAATAAAAATCAAAGTGATGCCTTCAATTTATTGCATATGTTGGCGTTTCTTGCATTTTAGTGAGGGGACTCTAGATGATGATAATATGCCCACGATCACAGGAAATGTGAGCTAGAAAAAATTGGTTGATTAGTACTCCCTTTGCAACAAATTGGTTGCAATTCCCATGGAGCTACGGAATGATGGGACTTATTTTAACTAGGATATAGCATCAAATACTCCCTTCGCAACAAATTGGTTGATTAGTCTATGCATCAATGGCACTTGTCCTACACATTGCTTAAATTTTCTATTTCTTTCACTCTACTCCCCCTTTTACAAGGAGTTGATATTGACTAGATATTACAAAATGATGATGCCACTTGTTTTGTGGCACATGAATATCTTATAAATCAGAATTGAATGAATTCAATCAAAGCTAAATGAAAACAAGGTTTGTTATACAATCGAGATTTTAGCATCAGTTTGACACTTTCTCGTACAAAAATTCCTTTGTTTTAGGAGGGAATTCAACAGATTGTTGTGACAAAAGAAAACATCCTATCTATAAAAGGAAGGATTCCCTCTCTTCCTTTCTCAAATCTCAATAACTCTGAGACATCCTCTAAGCATCCCACAAACTTATTAATTCTAGCTACCAGCAATATCTTCACTCCAGCCATGGGAACTACATTCTTGATTTCATCTCTCTTGATTCTGTTATCATTGATTGTCCAATCTAAGGCCATTACCTCGTCTCATGAATCTCATCACCAGGCAGTATTGGATACAGATGGCAATAAGATCCAAGCAGGACAACCCTACTACATCGTCTCAGCCATCCGAGGTGGCGGAGGTGGTGTGTCACTTGATAGAAGGGAGAGGTCTCGCTCATCAGTTGTGAGGCAGCATGGTTCTGAAATGAACTTTGGCACACCTATATCTTTCTCTCCAGCATTAGCTTCAATGGAAGGGAGAATTGCCTCACTCCCCAAAGAGCGAGCTATTGGGAGGATGCTTCTTGGAGTGGGAACCCCATCATCATCTGGGGCAAGAACTATCCTTGAGTCGACAGATGTGAACATCAGATTCTCAGAGATGCCTGTAGTTTGGCAGGTTCAAGAATCACAAGGATCATCTTCGCCGAGGACAAGAAGGTACGTTACAATTGGCGGACAACCAGGACACCCTGGTTCCTCAACTGTGAGAAACTGGTTCAAGATCGAGCGGATTAACAACTCTAGCCCTGAGTACCGCATTGCATATTGCCCTAGCGTGTGCGAGTCATGTGAGGTTGTGTGTGGGAATGTGGGGATATCATCAGAAAGTGGGAAAAGGTGGCTTTCCGTGTCTAAGCACAGAGAGTTCCCATTTGTGTTTGTCAAGGCCAGGCGCAACTAAGTGCATGCCATGAAAAACAATAAATTCAATAAGAGGCTACCTCGATCCTTCCTAACAAGCACTATGATTCATATATAGCAGCCAACAATTTTGTTTGCTTTACTGTTTTTTTGTCTTGGGATTTTTTCTTTTCATAAATCGATTGAGTGAATATTTTTCAAGGAAAAAAGGGAATGAATGATAGACTTTTCTTTGATATTTTATTTTTATTTCTATTTTATTATTTTGTTCATTGCAATATTGTCCTATTTGAACCGAATAAAAACTTGTAGGTCATGGTTTTATTGATTATGTGGTTGATTAGTCCATTCAAACCGTGAGAATGTTCAACTGTCCAATGTGGTCCAAAGCTGAAAATAGTGGAGTATTGGAAAGGAGAATGTTCATTGTCATTTTGTTGTACTTCGAGCAGGGATAGAAATTGGAAACCTTACCTGGTCATGGGTTTTTCTGGTTAACTAGTCAATTACATTTAGGTTGGGCCTAGTTGGATCAGGTTAATGTCAACATTATCCCAGCCCAAGGTTCTAAAAACCCAAACCCAACCTAGCCAATACTTACCCCAATTGAAACTAAATCTCTCAACCATAACCCAATTCAACCCAACCCAAAATTGACCTTGGATTGGTTCCATCCCAAACTTTTCACAATCCTCATAAAATCTCACTTGATCTTTGACTAATAAACCTAAATTTAACTTTTATAGCCATGCATTATCCTTATTCTTTTTTATTGGTATTTGCTTGATTGATGTTTTTATTGTGTTTTTTCAATGTGAAAGTGCAAAAATGAATGTTTCAAAGGGTTAAAATCTATGATGAATTATGATAGATGTCCTCTTTAAAATCTAAAGTTATGAAATTAGTAGTAATAAAACATAAAATTATGGTTTGGAAATCAAAGACAACTTGTCATTACGGTTAGGGTTTATGAGTTCAAGAAAAAATGGATATGATGGTATGTAGTTGGACCATGTATATATACCCAATTTATATCTATCTATACTATTATTCAAAGTGAGGATGTGGTATAGATTCTGGAATTTTTCTTGACTAAAATATCCCTTTTTGTTGATTTGCCCCCTTTTTATTACAATGGTAACAAATGTATTTTGAGATACTACTTATATTAAATTCATTCTATTCCCTCTTGCTAAGTCCTAAATTTTAAGAATCAACTCCTATCCCCTCTTATGAATTTGGTCCTTGTCTAGTTATGAGGGCACAAAACATAATACCTTAGTCCATTCAATTCCTTTATCAATTAGTGTTTTAACTCCCATTCCCCCTCCTTAGGTCTTTTATTTGAAGTATTTTTATTTCTCACCAATAAATTCTATTAATTGAATTTGCATCCAATAATTTTAACTAGACCGGGCAATTGGGTTGGGTGGGTCGGGTTCGAGTTGGGTCAAGACCCTTTGGGTTTATTTCGGGTTGGATTGTCAAATGCTAGACCCTAACCCTAAATGTTTGGGTTAGGGTTGACCCATGGGCTAATTCGGGTTATCCCAAAAAATAACTAAAATTAAAAAAAAAAGTAGAAAAACGACATGAAAATGCCAAAATTAAAAGAATTAGCTTTAAAATTCCAAAGATAAAATAAAAAAACTTGAACATTTAACAATTTAAAAAGTAAACAATAAAGAGTAAAGACTAAATAGAAAATGACCCAACCCAGTTCTAACAATGCATAAATAGTCCCAATTAGACTTGACAATCAAGTCAGCGGGTTGACCCATGACCCAACCCAGTTTTTTCCGGGTTGGGTTGGGTCGGGCCATTCTCACATTTAGGTAGTTAAATATGAGACTCTAACCCTGCTTTTCAGGTTGGGTTGGGTCAACTTTTTTCCAGGTCTAATTTTAATGATATAAAACCTATATGACTTCAAACCCAACTTGAATGCTAAACTGACATTTTGTCTGTGCGGCAAGCACATAGCTCAACTATCTGGGTCAAGTGGTTCAACCAATGGTCTCATAGTTAAATAATAATAAAGTTAAAAAATAAATAAATAATATAAGAATGACTAAAAGAAAATTAGGCACACATCTAAAATTGTATACTTATCATGTTGAATAAAAATAAGCATAGTAAATAAAAAGTATTTTTGCTAAAGAAGGAAATGAAATACATAATTTAAAACTAACCAAGAAATAAAACCATTTCCTTGTTTTAGTATTGGATCAATGGTTCAACCTTAGGTCAAATTGGCTAGCCCACAATGCCATAAATAAATAACAAAAGTTTTAAAAAAGAAATAGACAAAAATAATTAAAAATACAAAAAAATTATAAAAAAAAAACATTTGGAGGCCAATGACCCAATAAGAGTGCAAATTAGGCAATCTCCATCTGAGACTGCACCAATTCAACTTTGCAATTTTAGACAAACTGGCTTGGATTTTCAGTCCTTGATCTGGGCCTAGGTCTAGGCCCAAAAGTCAGAGCTCTTGTATTTTCCAAGCTACACTCAGGCCTAGACTTAAGTAATTGAGCTGGAATGGCTATTTACCTATACACATACATATATATTTGCATACATGTATGCGTATATACATGCATTTATATCAAATTTTAGCATGGAGATGATTAACCAATCCAAGCTTGAGCCCAACCAGAGTGCATTAATTTTCAATATGGACTGGCACAGGTCAGACAGACCAAACTTGACATTGGACTTGAACATTAGGCCCAATGCATATTGGACCTAGGTTGAGCACAAATTCTGCCCACCTCGCACCATAATGGTCAAATCGTTTGGGTAAATGGGTCGAGCAATGATGCTAAAACAAAATAATAAAAATAGATAGAACTACAAAACAAATTTATAAAAAGCTTATAAAAAATTTTGACATGTCTCAAATACTATAAATTTGTCATATTAATCAAAGATAAGTGTGATAAACAATAATTGTTTTTTCAATTAGTTATGGAAATGGAATAGAAATTTTAAAATTTCCAGAAAATGCATTAGGTTGTTTTTTTTCAAGTCGACCAACACTTGATGTCATAATTATATAATAAAAATTCAAAACATAGATACAAATAAAAAAAATTATAGAAAATACAGAAATTTGTCAAAAAATTGCGCACATCTATAGAATTATATATTTATTATATTAGATAAAAATAAATATGATAAATAAAAACATTTTTATTAACAATGTAAATAAAATACTAAATCTAAATTCATCAAAAGATATTTCAATTAATTTTCTTTTTTAGTGGGTTCTGATAAGAAAATTGAAATTACTATTGTTATCTCAAATTGTGAGGTCCAATACACATGTACAATTATTAATAGTAAAATAGTGTAGAGTCAGGGTTCAAGTTGGGGTGGTTTGTCCCAAGGGTCAACGCTAATCCAAGTGTGATCCGATTAGCAAAAGTCAACCTTGACCCTAACCCTAACCCAACCATCAAAAATAAATAATCAAGTTGAATACTACTTGCCTTTAAGCTCAAGCCAGTGGTTTTCTTTTCTCCTCTTCTGCCCGCCCCTAGTTCTCTCTCCTACTAAAATTGAATTCAACCCAATGTATTATCCAATAGAAAATTCTAAGTATAAACTTTGTTTCATCTATGCTTTACGATTCATCTCAACCACACATCTTGCTCTCTCCTATTAAAATTGAAGTTCTTGTGCACACCATCTCCAACACGGATGTGGGCTGTATCTATGTATACTTGTATCCTTTTATTCACGGGGATCGGGATATTCCCAACCAATGCACAATTGAATGGGCGACGGTGTGAGGAACAAATCCTATATAAATATATAGAATGCAAAATCTTATATTTTGTATTATTTTATATATATTTGTATTTGTATTCTTTAGAGTACAAATACAAATATATAGAATATAAACTTTGTATTTTATATTATTTTATATGCATTGTACATATTTGTATTTCTACTCTTTTTCAAATTAAAACTTAGAAGCAAAAATGTACATGTATTTATTATTCAATTCAAACCTCAACTTTTGACTAAAACAATACATAATTTATGAATCTTATTACCCTATTTCGGAGTTCGGCTTCAGTCCACGCACCCTCAGTCAAGGCACCGTTTGCGCATTTGGAGAACACGCCACGCATCTCCAAATCGTGTAAACAGCTGAAGCATGTGAGGATGCTTCACGCCGTTAATTTGCTCTTCTCCTCTTCTCTCCTCTCCTCTCCCTTTGGTGTTGCAGACGAGACATCTCATTCTCCCTCTCTCTCTGTCTCTCTCCCATCCACCCAGCAGCGATTTAACAACCATCACCGGCAGCGGGATCAACCTAAGCTAGTCAAGTCCTAGCACTAACAAGAGGCGAGTGAGGCAATATCAAGGGTGGTGACATGACCACCTCTTCAAATCTCCGAGATGATAAGCATAATCGGAGGTTATTTTTTAGCCAACTCTTGTTCTTTACAGGCACGTCAACTTCCTTGAGATGAAGCATGAAGTTCTGAATTCTCCGCAGAGCCACTTCCGTAGTTTCATTGTCAATATTTGCAAAGCATACTTTGAACCAACCAGGTTCTAGGCAATGGAAAGATGAACCAGGCGAAACATTGAGCTTAACGTCGTTGATAATCACACGCCACAGCTCTTTCTCTGCTTCGACAGTTGTTCTTGAGGAGACCCCTCAAGTCCATCCAACAGAACAGTCTGGCATTGCTCTTCAAACAATCAATTCTCACTTGGGCAAGCTTCATCGTGAAGATCTTATGTCTCGTCGCTAGCCTTATTGCACTCTCCTGGATGAAGCTCTCAACAAACTCGTTATCTGACAAGATGGATGCAATTAGGTGTTGTGTTTGTGTGGAGACGAGTCCAAAGCTGGACATGCATCTTCCGACCATTGTTTTACCACGACATCATTATATGAATAAACTATGCCGACCATGAAGCCTGGTAGTCCCACATCCTTGGAGAGACTATAGACAACGTGAATGAGATCACGATTACACTCGGTGTCTTCCTCTATTATCTTAGAGATGCTTA